GGCTTTTGTATTAAGGTAATGCTGAGTTCCTATAAGTAGGGTGCTGTTTCCCCTTTTCTGTTTCTGGGGAAAGTTTGTGAAGTGTTAGTATTGTTTTTTGTCTTTTTAAATGTTTGGTAGAATTCCTCAATGAAGCCATATGGGCCTGAAATCTTCTTTGTGGGAAATTGTACAAATACAGTTTCTTGAACAGATACAGGATTATTCAGGATTTCTTGATCTTTCTGAGTGAGCCTTGGTAAATACTGTCTTTTGAGAGATCTGTCCATTTTATCTAAGCTGTGGAATTTATGTGCATAAATGTATTCGTGAAATTTCCTTGTCAAACCTTCAGTGTCTATAGGCTCTGTAGTGATGCTCCCTCTTTGATTCCCAATATTGGTCATTTCTTTCTTATCTCTGTTTTTCGTGAATCAGGAATGTGGACAGTGCCTTACTTTCACTTTTTTGAGTTCTGAGTTGCCAGGTTTCTGTAGAGGCAGGCCCAGGGACGCTGGCCGATTCCGGCCTTCTGCATGATCATGGGGCTGTGCGAAGGGCCAGGCCTCGACCCTGTGGAGGGTGCTCATGACCTCCGCCACATCAGTTCTGGCCTAAGTAAACAAGGCCCTCACTCCCTAGAAGGAGTGATACTGTCTTCTGGTGCATCCCTGGCAGGTTGGAAGTGCACCTGACTTCAGCTCCGACTGTTCTGCTCACCTAGCTCCCCGTCCGCCTTCTGCCCTGCTGTGCGGTACCCTTGTCAGCCGGGGGAAAGAGGTGCACGTCAGACCAGAAAAATTGGCCGACCACACAGCTTCCCCTTGGTCTCCTCTGCATTGGGAGCCACAACGATCCTGTTAGGAGGAGCCTCCAAGATCTGCATGAATTTGCCACGAGGGAGGGAGTGCTTCTCTGACACCTTTACCTGGCCCCGTACTTCCCTGCTGGACCACTGAGGTCCGTGGTGCTCGCACCTGTCCAGAGCTGCCTACTGGGTAAACCGTGCGGCGCGACCTGGCCAAGCTCTTCTTACACAGTAGCTCATAGAATCAGCATCCAAAACACAGAGGAAGGTGTTACTATCATCCCATTTTATGTGGTGCACTTAGGTGACATACCCAGGGTCACACGGCAGGTAAGTTTATGTTCTGAGACCAGAGCATGTGGTCTTGCCCACCCTTCCCAGGCTGAGTGGCCTGGACGCCCCAGCCCTCCATCTGTCTGCACCACTCAGAGAGCGTGTGGCGGTAGAGCCAGACAGGGACCATCCCCGGGAACCCTTCCCCTCGGTCAGCGCTCTGGAAGGAAGATGGTCGACCGGCAGTGGAGCTCAGAGCAGTGAGGTCAGCCAGGGTATCTGAGGACCACGAGGCAGCAGCAGCTCCCTGTGGCGGGAGGGACAATCTCTTCGAGTCCCGGAGTAGGACCAACACTGAGCCAGGTGCCCCAGACACTTCGTCCTCATTCTGAACTTGGGTTTAGAGAAGACGAGACCTTCCTCTTCGGTTTGACAGTCTGTCCACCGGGGAACACTTAGTCGCTGCTCCTCGCGTTCCGCCGTGTCTGCTGTCTGACTTGCCCATGGACCTGGTGGTGCAGGTGATGGGGATGGAGGTCACTGGGTGCTTCCTCCTCGGAGCACGAGAAGGCCCGTCCGTTGGGCTTTGCAGTGTGGTCTCTGCTCCCACAGCCGCTGCTCTGTGCTTGTTCACCTGCAGAACTGGGAGAGTCCTGTGCCCAGTCTCAAGTTCTGCAGGCTCTTACCCTGCTCAACACGTGGGGGGAAGCGGGAGAGCCAGGGATTAGATCGCAGCATGTTGGAGCCGGGGTAGACTGTGCGGCTCATTCTGAAGGCAGTGGCCCATTTCACAGATGGGGAAACGGAGGCCTCCTGGCAGACGGAGGATGGAACCCGGGCCTCCTCGCGTCCAGGCCACTGTCCTCCCTGCTCCCTCACTTGCTGCCCCAGGACGGACCGACCTTGGCGCCGCCCTCTCTAGTTCGTGCGAAACAGCTGCTAGTTCTCGTGTTAGATGGAAAACCCATGTTTATGTTCACCCTTGATGTGGACAGATACGCCCATGCCTGTGTGGAAGTCAGCAAGGGGAAGTGAGTTCATGTTCCTTCGTGGCAAGACTCCAGTCGTGTCCTGCTCGTGAGGGTCTCGGACCCAGGCTTCCCGGGGGCTGCCGGACTGGTTGGAGTTAGGCCTGCCTTGGCCTTTCCCCGCGCGGAGCTGGGGACGCCCAGTGGGCTTGTTTACGCCGTGTCTGGGCCTGTTCCCCGGTTCTGGGGGGGAGGAATGTCTCTCTTATTTATGTCTCCGCTGGGGAACTTGGGGAGACGCGCCAATTAACCACGGCTACCTGGAAATCTGGGCGGCAGCAGACACCTCGGGGCCTGTGTTAAGGAAACGAAATGGTGGATCTGCTCAGATCTTCCCGGGCTTGTACTGTCTGTTAACAAGATTCAGTGTCTGTGGAGAGTCATTTAAAGTCTGTGAGCCGTGGTTCCCCCACTACAGTCTGGGAACAATGTCTGATTTCCCATTCCACCAGGAGAAGGGAAAACAAAAATGTTGAAACTGAGGCAAAAACAATGAAATGAATTTGCTGAAGGAGTTTGTCTCGCCTGGAAGGTGCCGCTACGTTCCCGCACCTGAGCACATCGCGCTGGGCCAAGGAGCACCGCGTGCAAGCCGAGGACAGGCGGCTCCGCCCGGTGGCGGGACCAGGGGCCCTCTGTTCACAGGCCTCTCACCCCACGACAGACGCTCGGGGGAGGCAGGCTGGTCCCCGAGAAGGCCCGGTGCTCAGGGGTACCGAGTCGGGTTACCGAGGTCCCTGGTGGGGGCGCAGAGCTGTGCGGGGACCGAGGGAACAATCTCTGCAGATGCTGTGGTGCCCCTGGGAACCTGTGGGTGGGCGGCTCTGGGAGACCATGTGGCTCCCCCTGCAGGGGGGGGAGGCTGTGCGTATGTGTGTGAGTATATGTGTGTGTATACGAGTGCAGGTGCGTTTATGAGTGTATGTGTGTAAGTATAGGTATCTGTGTATGAGCATGTGTGTGAGTGTAAGTGTGTGTGAGTGTATGTGTGAGTATGCATGTGCATGTGTGTATGTGTGCATGCTCGTGAGTGTGTGTGAGTCTGTGAGTGTGATGTGAGCATGTGTACGAGTGTGAGTGTGGGCATGGGCTTATGCGAGAGCGTGTGCGTGTGCGTGAGCGTGTCAGCGCACAGGCCCTTTGGTAAGTGGGGCCGTGTTGCAGGCCGGGGCTGTGCTTTGACCTTCAGGCTCGGGTCGTGAAACCTGCTGAGTGAGCTGTGACAGACGTGTGAACGGTGAGGGGAGAGACCACTTCCTTTTTTAAAAATCCTCACTTGAGGATATTTTTTCCATTGACCTTCAGATAAAGTGGGAGGGGGAGAGAGAGAAACATCAGTGTGAGAGAGACGCATCGACTGGTTGCCTCCTGCGCGACCCCACCTGGGGCCGGGGACCGAACCCCAACCGAGATACGTGCCCTTGACCGTAATCGAAACCACGACTGGTCCGCGGGCCAATGCTCTCACCGCTGAGCCAGACCGGCCAGGGCCCGACCATCCGCAGTGAAGGCTCCGTTTCTTTTCCTTTATTCTCCGGTGCATCGTGGGTCAGCACTCACGTGCGGTGTGCTGCAAACGAGTTACTGCCTAAATGCAATAAAAAGACCGTGCGGCTCGGCCGGTGTGGCTCCGTGGGCTGAGCGTCGTCCCAGGGACTGAGAGGTCCTGGTTGGATTCCTGGTCAGGGCACGTGCCTGGGTTGCAGGATCGATCCCCAGTGGGGTCCTGCGGGAGGCAGCCGATCGATGTTTCTCTCTCACATCGATGTTTCTCTCTCCCCCCTTCTCTCTCTCTAAAAAAAAACGAATAAAAAAATTCTTAAAAAGGACGAAGTACAAGTCCCAATTTAATGTTTTCTGAGCAATGAGCATAGCATCCCTCTGTGAGATTGCCGGGCAGGTTCTGAGAGCTTCCTGCCAGTTTATGCGGAGGGCCAGACGGCCGAGCGCCAGTGGCCCGCAGAGTGTCCTGTCCCCGCAGCCAGCTCTGTGCAGCGTCCAGCCGCCAAGGGCCAGGCGGAGCCGGGGAGAGAGGAGGGTGCAGGCCAGCCCGGAGCCCTGTGGCCTGGGCAGAGAGCCTGGCGGGGAGGGGGAGGGCAGCAGGAGGCAGGGTTTGGGGCAGAGTAACAGGCTCAGGGTGCACTTCGAGGCCACACGGCCTGTGCCAGCCCCACGGTGTCCTGGGACCCTGAGTCTGTCTCGGGTGCCCTGGGTGTTCGCATCTGTTGGCTGGAAATGAACTTGCTGCGTTGTCGGGAGCCCCACGTGGGGGTGTGGGGTCGCTTCATCCGAAAGCTTCAGAAATGCCCACTATAGGGGGTTCACTGATACAGAGTGTGTTTTATATAGAAAACTGTGGTCACCCGACTTCTCTCCCTTCCCCCCAACAGTCCCCTTGTGCCGTTCAGCCAGGGGTGTCTGGGGTTGGCATGAATGGTTCCGCGTGGTGGGCACTGCTCTGGGGACCGACCGTGGCCCCTCTGGGCCATGTGGTCGCTGTGGGGTCTGTGCCTTCGCCTTAATGCTTTTCATACCTTTGAAATCGAGACCACCCGATGGGCATCTGCTTCTCCGTGGCGCGGGGAGCTGGGGAGGGGATGCCCTTGGTGACCACTGGGATAGCTGGTCGGAGGGCCAGTATCTGCGGGGCCTCCAGCTCCACATTTTCCTGGTGAACGGTGGGGGGCAGAAAGCCCAGTGCAGGGGTCGCCTTCCATGGTTGTGGCTGTCAGCCCGGACGGGGTGTCCCCCAGGGCCCGAGCATCTTTGCGCGGAGCCCAGGTCTGGGGTCTTGTCCGCAGCCCCCTTCAGGGGTCCAGACACCTCTGACTCCCTCTGACCCCCCCCCCCGGGCCGGGCCACCACAGCTCAGAGAGGGGTGTTTCCAGCATCTCCCCTTATTCTGTTCTCAGGGCAGGAAGACCCCAACAGTTTGCGCCATAAATACAACTTCATCGCCGACGTGGTGGAGAAGATCGCCCCGGCCGTGGTTCACATCGAACTCTTCCGCAAGTAAAGACGGACCCCTCCCCCTCTCCTCCCCCTCCCCTCCCCTCCCCTCCCCTCCCCTCCCCTCCCCTCCCCTCCCCTCCCCTCCCCTCCCCTCCTCCTTCCTCTCCCCTCAACTGTCCTCCCCCCTCCCCTGTCCTCCTCTCCCCTCCCCTCCCCCTCCCCTCCCCTCCCTCTCCCCTCCCTTCCCCTTCCTCCCCTCCCCTCAACTTCCCTCCCCCCTCCCCCTTCGAAGCTCCCTGCGCTGCTCTTAGCAAAGCCAAATGGCTATTTCTGAGCCTCATAACCTGCTGGCCACTGAAATAGTCTCTGGAGTTGGGGGGGGGGTACTTTCTCCCTCAAGATGTTTCTTGTTTGACTATTTAAATCTACATTCCTGACCCTGCTGGATGTTCGGAGAACCTCTGGCTCTGAAGAGACTCCCAGAGAACCCCCTCTAAGTGGAATTGTCCTGATGCGTGTGCACGTCGGGCTCACGCTCCCTCTCCCAGCACCAAGTAAACCCCAGGAGTCCAGCAGCAGTTGCCAGATGCAGTCGGGAGCCCACCCATCAGGGGGTGAGAGCAGGCGCTCAGGGGTCTCGGGCTTCACTGTTCGCTCTTTTGGGTTCTAGGCTCCCTTTTTCTAAGAGGGAGGTGCCGGTGGCCAGTGGGTCTGGCTTCATCGTGTCTGAAGATGGGCTGATAGTGACAAATGCCCACGTGGTGACCAACAAGCACCGGGTCAAAGTTGAGCTGAAGAACGGCGCCACCTACGAAGCCAAGATCAAGGATGTGGACGAGAAGGCGGACATCGCCCTCATCAAAGTCGACCACGAGGTGCGTGTCTCCACCTGCAGAGCCGCCGCTCAGGTGCCCTGGCTGAGGCCTGGTGAAACCCGGGAGGCCCAGAGGCACCGAAGCTGGGCAGGACCAGTCGGACCTGGCCCGAAGGACGCGGGGAGGGTGGGGTGGGGGGAGGGGCCCACGGAGGCTTCTGTAAGAAGCAGGCGCTAAGATCCCAGAATTTTAAAAACAGTGTTTTACATTTTTACAAAGAAGTCACAGGGAAGCTGTGACAATCAGGTGTCCCTTCCGTCCCGAGGCAGCCGTGGTTGCAAACGTCTGTCCCTCTGCATTCTGGGTTTGCAGACAAACCAGGTCTCCCAAATTAGGCTTCTGCAGGTGTTAGAACAAGGTGTGGAAACCTTGAATTAAAACCAAGCCAATGGACCTCTTCCGGGCAGAACTTCCCAGAGCGGTCAGTACACTGTCGTGCATGCCCTCCGGCCAGAGGTGTTGACTCCAGACTGTCATTACCTGAGTGTAGGACCTTTCTGTCTCCCTGTCTTTCTCCAGACTGAAACAGAGTGAACTGGATTTGGGAAATGCTGTGTTCAAAAGTGGTTTGCTTTCTACTTGAATATCCTCCTTGCTGCCATTTTTGCCCGACATTAAATCCAGTTCTTATTAGACATCAAACCCCCCACGCCGGTGGGTTTTCGGTGGGGTTTGGTTCTCTCGTGCTCAGTGAGATCGCCTTCTCCGGCTTCTCCACGCCCTCGCCATTTTCCAGACTTCGCAAGGAGGGCGCAGGGTCGCTTGCAGTCGTGATGCTGTCCCAGGAAAAGGTCAGACCAGCTCTCTGCAGACCACCTGAGACGGCTGTGAGGTCAGACTGGGCGGTGGCGCACAGGCTGGTTTGGTCTGTGCTGTTCACCAGGGCAGAGCCGGGCTCCGTGCCCAGCGTAGTCAACTGGCCTTTAGCGGGGTTGCAATTGCCTGTTATTTCTATTAGGTTCCTGTGGACTTGCTAGAAACAACTAATCTTTCAAAATATGTTTTTGGTCACAACATCATCACAGTAACCTCTGTCTGACGTGTTCTGATGCTGGGTCAGGCTCTCCCTTCATCTGTAACTTGCACCGAATCGGCCACACCGCTGTGCTTTGGTGAAGCGGTAGCCTAGCCCGGCTCGCCTTCGGGTCCGCCAGGCGGCTGCTCCCGTCGCCCAAGTGCACGGCTGCTCGGGGAGGGAGGGACCCGTCCTGTGGGCGCGACAGCTGGATTTAAATAGCCCACGGGCAGGCTGGCGCTCCCGTTTAGAAGCACTGCTCGGAAGGTGTCCAGGATGTGGCAGGAGGTCGGCCAGAATAGCACACCCTGGGGCCCACACCGAGACTTCACAGCCCGGGGCTCTCTGCAGGCTGGGCGCTGGGCGAGCGGCCCCACCGAGCAGTCCTGCGTGGCCGCGGATATCCCTCCAGAGTGTGAGCCAAGGTGGGGTGCCCGGCGTGTGCAGCGGGACGGGGGATCCCCACGGACCGGCTTTGCGGGGTTCTGGCCTGGCTCCTCCTGCCAGCAGCAGCCACTGGAGATGTGTTTCTCGCCCGAGAGAAAGGGGTGGATGGTTGGAAGGTGAACTCCTGTGGGTTTTCGAAGTGGCATCGGAAACGAAAGGATATGAAATTGCAGACGCCCACCCGCGAGGCTTCCATGGACTGAACGGCTGCTTTTTTTTCTATCCTCACCCGAGGACATTTTTCTATTTTTTGTTCAGGTAGAGTGGGAGGGAGAGAGAGAGAGAGAAACATCGATGTGAAAGGGACACATCGAGTGGTTGCCACCCACACGACCCAACCAGGGCCAGGGCCAAACTGCAACCGAGGGACGTATCCCCAGCGGGAACCGAACTCCGATCTCTCTGGACCGCAGGCCGACGCTCTAACCGCTGAGCCGAAGTGGCCAGGGCCCGAACGGCTGCTTTTTGCTGACAGTCGTAGGAAGTGGGAGAAAGCAACGGTCTCTTCCAGGTCTTTCCTTCTGGTGCCGTGGCTGGAGGACCGAGGGCTTATCTCGGAGGAGCAGGCCGGCTGGACCAAGGCCTCGCGGTGGCGGCTCCACAGTTCAACGGTGTGCAGGCAGGGTCGGGTGGGAACAGCGGAAGAGAAGAAATGGGGCAAGCGAACTCGCAGGAGGCAGAACAGAACCAACCAAACTGGGCTTGAGGGTCGTCGCACACAGTTCCCGATGGCACTGGCCACGCGAGGCCCTGGCCCAGCGCTCTGGGCGACTGGGTGACAGCCGCCACCTACGTGGCCCAGTGGCTAAGTCGTCGGCTCCTAATCGGGCCGTCTCTCCCCTCCAGCTTGGTGATTGCACTTGCAGGGTTCCCCGTGACTTGAAGGGTGTTCTCGCCACTTTCCGTGCATGGAAATGACCGTGGACATGTATTGTCATTGCCGCTTGTCACCAGCCGCCGTTTGGGAGCAGCAGCCGCCATGTCCTGTGGGGTCTGCTTCTCCCCCACTGGTGCCCGTGACCCAGGACCAAGCAGACCCTGCCCGTGGAGTGGCAGCCGGCTGCCACCCGCAGCCCGAGACCCCGGCACTGCCCGAGCCCCAGCCCTCTCTGAGCCCTGTCTGGAGCTCCCCTCGAATCTGCAGCCAAGCCCCTCGGCCTGAGGTTGCCAGAGACATGCTGGGCTGGCGACCAAAGCTCCTCCTTGGCTTCTCACGGCCAAGGAGACACATGTGCACTGGTTCCCCGCTGAGCTTTGCACCGGGAGAATTTTCGGAAAAAGGCTCACGGAGCCAGCAGGCCCCTCTGGCCAGTCTGCTGCCCCTGCCAAGCCAGAGGAGGAGTGTCCCCTGCTGTCCCCCCGCCCCCCGTCCTGGTTTATAATTCCCCTTCCTGTGGGCAGGGCCGGCGGGGGGGGGGGGGGCTGCAGGAAGGAAGGACCGTGTGCGAGCAAACATTTTAATAGGAAGCAGCTTTGAGGGCAAACTAGTTCAGCTTCGGATGCAAACTGTTTCCAAATGCGTTTAACATGACACCGGCCATGTTGCAGAACATTGAAAACTTGTATCCAGAGGCAGAGAGAGAAGGAGGGAGGGAGGCTTCAGGCCAGAAGAGGACGCAGAGATACTGGGGGCGGATTGAAGAAGAGCGAAAGTCACTTGTGTGACAGCTGTTTTCCAGCTGTGGATCAGCACACACAGGAGAAAAGCGTGCCCCCCCCCCCCGATGATTGCAACCTTCAGATCACGTCCTGTGAGACTGTGCGACCCCCACACATTTCAGCTGTTCTCACAGAGCTTCACTCCCGCAGGGCCCCGAAGGGCTGGCCTGCCGGTGCCCCTCCCTCCACCCTCACCCACTCTGCTTAGCCACCGCCTCCTGTGCTGCCCCCCACCCCATGTCACTGGGGGCACATGACCCCGAGACCATCACAGCTCACTGTTTATTTATCTCTTCTCCTCTTATCCGAACTTACAATTGACTTATTTATTTGCTGATTTAAGTTCATCTTTGCTGCTAGAGTCAGAGACACACATGTTGGGTGGTAGGTGGCTGGAGCCCACAGTGTCTGAGTGTGAAGACCCTCCTCTCAGAAGGAGCGAGGGACCCCGCTCCGGGGGTGCAGGGCGGGAGGGCACCGGGTCCCATGCCTCTGAATCTCAGATGAGAGGGTGGTGCACCTGGCAGGCTGCAGACGCCCCTGCCCCCCGCCGTCCTCCCCACTTCCCAGCCAGGGCTCTTCTGCCCCCCACGGCTGCGGGGGTTTGGATGACACCTCGGGAAGGTTCCTGCGGGCACCTGGCCTGATGCCAGCGGCCAAGGGCGTGTTCGGACGCAGCCTGGTTGAGGCTGTGGGTGGTTTCTCTCCTCAGCCCAGGCCCGCGTCCACCCTGCCACCTACAGACCTGTTTGAAGTGGCTGAAGGGTGAGGCCTGGGCCCTTCACGGCCCAGCTGGAGGCCGGCGCCTTTCCCACGCCGGTCCCAGGGCACAGACAGGCTCTGGCCCCCTCCAGGCCTGTGTCGGGGTCCAGGCCTGTGTGCGGACGGCCTGCCCTGAGTTCTCTGAGGGAGGAGGTCTCCTGGGGATGGGCCGAGGGAGGGAGGGGGAGCCCACGCCAGCCCTGCAGTCAGCTCCCCCGGGCAGCCAGTCCTGCAGAAGGCGCTGACTCAGCCGCCAGAAGGGAGTCAGACAGCACAGAGCCTGCTGGGCTGGGCTCCCCCTGCCTCCCCGCAGGGCCCGGGAGCCGGTGTGCAGGGCCACAGCTGCCCGTGTCCTGCTGCGTCCCTCCCCCTCCCACGCTGGCCACTGTGGCTTCTTCTCTCTCCCCGAACTTGCAGGGCTGCTGTCAAGGTTGCTGGAGGTGCCGTGCTCCTGTCAGTGTTCCCGGTTTCCATTACCGTATTGATCTCGACCGTTTTAGTGGGAATCAATATTTCATTAGGCAGCGTCAGCGCAGACGGAGGAAGGGCGGCCACTCATTCCTGTCGGGCCTCTGTCCGGGGGTGGACGAGGACCTGCTCCTCAAGCTGATGGCTGTGCCCTTCGGAATGTGGAGTCTCAGCTCCAAGCCGTCCAAACCAGGGCCCTTGTGTTCTCTGGCCCCGGTTCAAGAACGTCGTTGATTGAAGGAAATTCTTTGGCTGTTTTTTTCTCTTAATATGGTCATGCCTCTGTTCACTCTGGCACTCCGTCTTCGGGCACTGGGTTAACACTGTTATCTACGGTCCTGGCACAGCGGCTGCCCGCTGGTTGGCTCTGGGTTTGCAGGTGGCCCCCTGGAGATGTCTCCTGTCCTCACTGAGGGGTCGTGCATGGGGCCATCTGACAGCTTAGTGTAACAACGTATTAGAGTCCAGGGAGTATTTGCATCCGGCCCTCCATCTGCTTTTATAAATAAAGTTTTATTGAAACACAGGCATACGGCAAAGTTTAGAAAAGTTTGCCAGCCCACTGTGAAGTCATAGCGCCTGTCTCAGAGGAGCTGAGTGCTGGGGTACACACGTCTGTGAGGCCCAAGTGAGGCGAAGCCCCGGGGAT